GAAAAAGACCAGATCTGATTACTTAGTGAGTTCAAGGCCAAACCAAGCTATATGAGATCTGTCTCCAAAAAAAACCAGAAATAACTATTATCCTCAATCCTCCCCTAAATATAACCCATGCTTTCATTTGCTACTATTCATGAAGAGAATTAAAAATCTAGTTATTTGAACTTTTCATGTAGAAATAAAAATGTTTCGGAAAAATACCCGAAATAGTATACTATGAAAATAAAAACAATTTAAAAAATAAAATCATCTTTTACAAGTAAAAGAATTCTAAGACTTTACATAATAAACAATTATTTTTTGTGAAATGCACAACTGAAGTTGTAATTGGAGAGTTGGAACTATATTTATGAGAAGTAGGAATTTATCACTTAACTCATAGAAACTACACAAAACAGCACTATAAGCAAATGAACATAAACCAATCTAAAATGCTATTAGTCTATTAGTCTTTACTATTATTAGTCTATTATTCTATTGCTAAATTGTTGTAAAACTTAAAAGAGGTAAATAAATCCAAGATTTTAGACTCAGAAAAGGAAAGGATGTAATGTCCACTGATGTAATGTTTGTCAAAAAACTACACAAAATAATTTATTTATGCATCTGCATAAAGTACTATAAGGAAGTAAATACAAAAAAAACTGAAGTTTTACTATAGTATTAAACTGAGTAATTTTCTCTCCACAATGAAGTTTTATTAAAATGTTCTGAGTAAATATTTCATTTGACTTAGCATCAGAAGTAAAAATGTGATGGAAAGATGAGAGTAAAGATGTCACTTGGAGAATGAGGGGAAGAAATAATTTCTTTTTAACACTAACACTTTGTACTTGACACACTTGATTCTAGACAATAGTTAACTGATAAAATTAAACCTGATGGGGTTAGGGGACTTATGCCTGTAATCCTAGCTTCTAAGGAGACAAAGCTCCTGTTTGAGGCCAGGCAATGAATGAATCAACAAAAGTGCTAGATGTGAGGAATGGCTCAACTAGTGGAATTGTTGGCCATAAACAGAACCAAAAACAAAACCCACTTAAACATCCTAGTTTAAGATTTCTAATAATACTGAAATCTAAAAGTTACAGGCAGTAATGAGCAAAACAGCAAATAGCTTTGTTCTTTGGAAAAGATATATATTCATCTCATATATTATACCTACAACTCCTAAACATCCAAAGCTAAGTAAGATGTAGCCAGCTGGCATGGATATATCTGGCCTGTAATCCTAGCTATTCAGGAGGCTGAGTTCTAAGGAATGCAGTTTGAAGAAGGAGTTCTGAGGACTGAAGTTTGAAGCAGGCCAGGGAAGAGAAGTTCCTAAGAGTCTTACCTCCAATTAAACACCAACAAGCCAGAAATGGAGCTCTGGCTCAGGTGGTAGAGTGCTAGCCTTCAACATAAAAGCTGAAAAAGTGTCTAAGCCCTGAGTTTCATGCATATGCACACACACAAACACACACAGCTGATTTTTTTATATTCTTTAAGATTGAAATACATATTTTTCCTCAAAACTGTACAACTACCAAAATGAAATGTTGCAAATAATCTCACCCCTTCAATTTTATGTTTCTTTTAAAAATCTATCATTTCCTATCTTGTAATTATTATAAATGCACATGCACTTTTAACCATATCAAAGTACAAACCTACTGACCTCAATTGTACAGCAGTCAATAGTACTGCATTTTTAAAAAGGATTGTTGTGCAGTTACCTAATGTTTAAAATTTTTATTGATATAGACTTTGCATACAGGTATGCATGCACATATTCATGTAAAAAATTTCCAGGCTTTTATGTGTGTAGTGTTGGATAGGAATTGGAACACAGGGTTTTGAACATGATAGGCAAGCGATGTTCCACTGAGGAGCATCTCCAGTCTACATCTTTATATACACTTCATCTAATTGTAAACAGTCTTAAAACTTTGAATTTTCTGCAAACTCTATCACCTCTAAAGAATTAAGACTGGAAATTGCTGCTTGCTGAGAGCCAGTGGCTCACACTCAGGATCCTGAGATCTGAAAATCATGGTTTGAAGCCAGCCAGAGCAGGAAAATCTATACTCTTAACTCCAGAAAGCTATCAAAGAGCAGGAAGTATAACTGTGGCTCAAGTGGTACAGTACTAACCTGGAGGAAAAAACAAAACAACAAATCCTCTGGAAGTATACAAAAAGTACAGTCCTGGGTGAATCAGATGGATGTACACTATCTGTTGTTAGCTCAATATATAGTCAATCAAAGGCCCTTAACCAAACAAGACCCTAAAACTAGCTCCAAAGAGTCCTACTTAAAAATTATGAGATCCATCTAAATATAAGATATATCTCACATCAGTTTAACCTCTGTACAAACTATAAATTCCTCCACACCAACTGGCTCCCCAGTAGAAAAAAAAAAGTATTTCTTAAGGTTTATACCACTTTAAACTTTCTGACATACTCCAGATCATTTCCCTGTCCTGTAAGAAATAAAGAGAGACTAAACTGGCAGGAAGACAATCATTGAAGAACACAACAGTAAGCCAGGTGTGGTAGTATATAACTATAATCTCAGCTGATGGAGGTAGAAAGATCTGGAGGCCAGCCTGGGATACATGGTAATACACTTGTCTCCAAACTAAAGGAACAATTCAGTTTTCAAGACTGAATAATATGTATTTGTAAATGTACAAAGATCTAGAATGATATACTCAAGTGTTAATAGTAGTTATCTCTGGGAAAAAATGTGAGATAGAAGTAGTGGTTTTTCATATAAAGAGGGTTTTTCCTTAGTATACAGACTATATAGCTATTACTTTCCATGAGCATCACTTTATTTCTGTAATAAAAATACAATTTACAGTAATATTTTGAAGTATAATCCCATTTGTTAGAAAGGCTATATAAATCTACATACATGGAATTCAAAGAAAAACTATGTACCATTTTGCACTACAGTGGTTACTATACACCTCATATCAAAAAGGAATACAATAAAGAACACTGGTAATATCAACAAAAATGCCTACAGCATCTATCTGTTACCCACTATTACCTATTCTGATTATACTGTATTAGACACCAGGAGTTTGCCTATGATCTCCCTAAAGAATATCCCTTTTCAGTCTTAACCTCAATGAAAAGGTTAGGTTGGCAGAACTAAAAAAATCATTATATTTACAACAACCATGGTCATAAAAATGTTAAAGATTTTTTTAAACCAAGAAAACACTGCCTGTTTTCTTTTTTTTTCCTTTCTTTTCTCTTTTTTTTTTTTTTTGGGGGGGGGGGTCATGGGGGAAGAGGTGCCTGTTGTGGGGCCTGGGTGCTGTCCCTAAGCTTTTGAACTCAAGGCTAGCTTTTACCACTTGAACCACAGCTCTGCTTCTGGCTTTCTGGTGTTTAATTGGAGATATGAGTCTTACGGACTTCCTGTCCAGTTGGCTTTGAATCATGACCCTCAAAACTCAGACTCCTTAGTAACTAGGATTACAGGTGTGAGCCATCACTGGCATGCAACTCTTCTTTTGCTTTTGCACTTGTACTCAGTGGCTCATACCCTCACTTGGTAGAGCTAGCATTCTACCACGTGAGTTACAACTCTACTTCCAGCTTCTTGCTGGTTAATTGGGGATAAAGAGTCTTACAGACTTTTCTGCCCAGACTGGCTTGAAAATGCAATCCTCAAATCTCAGCCTCCTGAGTAGCTAGGATTATAAGCGTGAGCCATAGTTGCCCTTTTTATTTTTTTGTAAGAAATAAACTACACACACACACACACACACACACACAGATTAATATATCTAATTTACTTAAGGAAAAGAAAAGCTTTCCACTCCCCAAAGCACATTAACCTAGACAACCAAGTTTATTATCACTGTAATGAAGCATCACAGTAATGGGCTTTGGTGGGGTGAGTGGACCTTTGGAGGGAGGGCAGGATGTCAAAGAAGCAAAAGTGTATACAAGTAAAACTTTTGAATAATATAAAGGGAGACACAAACAATATTATCAAAGTAGGATAATCCAGCTATTATGCCAAATGTAAACAGTATCATTGACTATTTTAGCAACTCAAATAATAATCTTTAAAATTGAATTTCTGGTGTTTTGTTACAGATCTGTAATCCCACTACTTGGGAGACTGAGGCAGGAGGATTTGAGCTCCAAACCAGCTGGGGATACATAGTATCTTAAAAAAAAAAAAAAACCCTGAATTTGTCTGTGACCTCAACATTGTAAAAATTAAGGTGTAAATAATCATTAAATTTATCTTCAACATTTCAGCTTTTCTGCTTAGATTTTTAAGTCACATTGAAAATGACTAAAAATCACCACAAATTAAATACCAACTATGAGATACATTAAGAGTAGATCTTTAATCTGTTCTTTGAACCTAAAAGTCACAAAATTTTTATATATACAATGTATTTATATTGTATATGCATTTCCCATCCTTTTGTCTTCAGACTGCTTCCTCATTAGTTCTCCAAAGTTTCATTAGTTAAAAAAACACAAATTCTATGCTGTTACACCCCCCCTTAACACAAAGATGTACACTACTCTCACACTCTCCTACACCTGGCCTTTTTTTTGTTTGTTTGTTTTATGACAAATTTTTGAAGTTTTCCATGGGGATACAGACGAACGCTTCCTCATTCTTTTTTCACGGCTCATCACAATTAGTTCTACCACATTTTCAGTCCCTTCTTCGGGCTAACCTTGAATGACATTCTGATTCGGTCAGCTACTGAACACATGGATTACTTTCCTTCCCACAAGATTTCAAAGAAGAAAAAGTTTTGGGGCGTCCCAAGGTATTTTTCAGAAGAAAGTAACTCATTAAATTTCTTCATTACAAGAATGTTTTATTTCCAAACAGGTATCTCCTCCACCCCCATACAGGGGGACAGGATGGTCCACCTCGGAACAGTTTCTGCTCTAATCCCTGAAAGCCCCCCCCCCCCCCACACACACACAATCAGAAGAATCTTGGCATGAAATTACCTTTACTTTGATTTCAGGGTTCGACGTGTACTAGCCCAATCAACAAAGACTGTGAAAGTTTCTTTGCTTCTTGTGCTTTTCTTTCACTGTGAAAGGAAGACATCGATTCTGTATTTTCAAGACGGCAGCTAGAAAGTCCGCGTGGCACGTTTCTAATCTCGAGAAAGCACAACCTGAGGTGACCTGTCATCTGCCGGGTCAGAGGTCGAGGCGGTGGCTGAGTGTCCTCCACTGGATTGACATCTGCACCAGTCCCTCCCCCCCCCCCCCCAAAAAAAAACACTCCCCAGAACGCAAAGTCTGCGGCGCTGCGCCCCGGACCAAGCCGCCAGGCCGGGGCGCGGGCGGAGCGCAGCGCGGGCGGCCAGACGGAACCACGACCACTAACGGAACCAGCCCGCGGGCGGCGGCGGCCGCCGCTCGGACGGCGGAGCGCGGCGCGCGGGCCGGGCGCCGGGAGGGCGGGGCTCCCCGGAGGCGCTGGCCGCCCCAGCGCCCCATTGGGCGCCGCTCCAAACGTGCCCGGGCGGTGACAGGAATAAAGTGGGTCACAAGGCCTAGCGGGTCCCGGGCGAAAGCCCCTCTGGGCACCGATTCCGCCCCTCCCCGCTATCCCGCCGCTGGCACCGGGTGCCGCCTGGGCGCCCCTCGGCTGCGAGGCCCCGCCGTGGCACCCCAATCCCGCCCCTGCCCCGCAGGTAACCTCAGCTGCCCCGCAGGGCCCTTCGGTCCCCCGGGCCTCCACCCAACTCCTGGGGCAGCTCCGAGCCCGAGCCCAACTAGGGCGGGCGCCCTCTCCCCGGGCCGCCGCCCCCGGCGCGACACGCCGCCCCCCGCGCCCGCGCCCTCACCGTGTGGCTGGCGGCCGCTCCGGCTTCCTCCTCCCCTACCTGGGACGCGGGCTGCGGCAACTCGGGGCCACGGCCGGCCACGTCCCGGAGCCGGCGCGACGCCAGCGCCGGCTGCACCCTGGGCTGCGAGTGACGCCCCCCGCCCACCCCCAAAATACTCTCTGCGGCGGCGCCCGCTCCTCCTCCCCCTCCCGGCCCTTCCCCCTCCCTCCACCGGCGCCGGGAGCGCGCATGCGCCGCCCCGGCCAGCGGCCGGCGGACGTCAGACCGAGGCCCACCCGGGGGGGGGGGGCGATGCCGCTCACCGGGAGCGCGCGCGTGGCGGCGGCCAGATTTCCTTCGCGCGCTCGCCGGCCGGGGTTTCCACTTTCGAGTCGGTCGCCGCCAGCCGAGTCCGTGATTGCGCTCCCTCCCGGCGCATGCGTCGTCGGTGACCCCGGGCTCCGCGGCCGGCCGAACCCGGCGATCGCCCCTCCCCTCACGGCCTTCCCGGGCGCGCCGCGGTGCGCATGCGACTTGCCCCGTTAGGCGGCGCGGACCCGGGCCAGAGGATCCCGGGCGCCCGGGGAGACTCCGCGCCCGCGGGCCATCGTCCGCGCGCTCCGGGGCTGCCGAGGAAAACCTCGGCCCGCGTCTGCCCGGAGAAAAGCCGAGGAGGCGCGGCCTGGCCGGGCTGAGGGTGCGACCGCGCCGCGGAGCGGAGACTGTGGGTTCTGGTGACTTGGGCTCCTCACCCGGGATCCCAGGAGCTCCCTGCTGGGCCAGGGGTCCCGAGGCCCGGAAAGGGCGCTTCTCCCCCGCGTGGAGCAAGCACTTGGCCCTGGTCTCCCGGGTGGAGGTTGCGGCGTGCGGGGACGGCCGGCCGAGGCACCTCGGGTCTCGGGAGGAGCGCGATCGGGCCGCTTCCCGCCGTACTTCCCTCCGGTACCGAAGGACCGGGGGCCAGCGCGGCCGCGGGGAGGACGCGGAGAGGCCGGGGCATTCGCTCCTTGGCGCGCTCCCTTACGGCCTTGAATGACAAGCCCAGGGACCCGGTCAAGGAAGATGGAGGTGGCGCGATGGGGAGGAACCCGAGCTCGTACCAAACCTGCCCTGACGCCCTGGTTAGCGCGTCTAAACGCTTGGAAAGGAAATCTCTTGTAGTCCTAGTTCCTAGAGGTTTCTGTTTTGATTTGAACTTGTATTTTCTAAAAATACAGTTTGCTCAGGTGGCTCTAAAATCCTCTCCCCCAAGGCAACTTTAACCTCAGTAAATCCTTCCAAGTCTTGCTGTAATCAGAGAAAAAGGCTAGCTTAACCCGGCATGGTGGTTGCACCCCTGAATCCCAACCCTTACTGTTCCCCTGAGGATGTTTCCATCGAGTGGGAAAACAAGATTTGTTCATTGCCCCATCATATGGCAGAAGGGATTTTAGTGAACGTTTCCGAGTGTTTCCATTTCCGATTCATATTTGAGTCCGTCTTCTGTCTTAAGCTGCGCTTACCAAAATGGGTATTATCTCTTTTCCAATTTGAGTCTGAAAGCCATCTTTGCATGCATGAATAATGATAAAGTGCTATGAAAAAATAATCATATTCAAAGATGGAGATTCGGTTTACACACTTTTTGATGCCCCCAAACCAGTGTGAAGTAGATTCCTCTGGAATATTACACTAATCAGTAAGTTGGATGTGTTTGTTTTATTGTCTAAATTAGAAGTTTCCTGTTACCGCAATTAAGAGTTCTGATACTGGTAAGGTAGCAAGAGATGAGGTGAGAAGTTACTAATACTGATAAAGTAGGTTCTAGCCGACCAAGAGTTTGAATACTTTTCCTAGGATGGAGTTTTACTAGAGGAAAAGTGACCCATTCTCATATTCCCAGGCTCTAGAACATATTTTGAGAAATACCTTTGCCCTTCTTTTATTGGTTCCACTGCCCTTTGAGTCACCGGATAGAACTGTGTTCACCTCTGACTCCTTCCTCTCTCACATTATGTGTTTAATTATTTACCAAGACCTGTTAATATACTTTTTGTTGTCTCATATTCTCTCCAAGAATAAAAGAATTGGGCATCTGAATATATTTCTCAAAGGAGGAGCTAGGAGTGTAGCAGAAAGAGGGGGATGAATGACCATATCTTCTGCTGAGAAAAGAGCTGTGCAGCAGGAGGCTGTGTCTTTTATTAAATATGGATTCTCCAGTTAAAAGAAATTTGTTACTATTCTTCCTCTCAGTCTCCAATACCAAAGGGATGGACTGAGAAAGGAAAGAAAAAGTACCAGTTGAAAACAAACCTCCTTCAAAGCTAGTCTGAGCTACACTGCAAAACCCTGACCACAAGGGGAAAAAAAAGAACTAACAAACCTAAGGAAAGCACCTTCCATTTTCAGAGTTCTTGGAGTCATAAGTTCATCCCTAGAATTTTTGGCTTGAGATTAGAGTTTCATACTAGATAGATTGAATAACCTAGAGTGGAAGAGTTAAGGAACACAATCAGACTTGCTGCCTGGTGCATCTCTAAGTTTCATGTGCACACCGATTGCCTAGGATCTCATGAAAATGAAAATTCCAACTCTATGATAGGGCCAGTTATGGTTCTAACAAGTTTCCTGAGCATGGGTCTGGTGCAAGGATCACACTCTGACAAACAAGATGCTATAAAATAGAGGAGTTTCAGTAGAGCACAGTAGATTAAAAAATGTAGGAAATATCTATTTTGTAGGTTGAATATCAGCTATTAATAACTCTTAGCTGGGTATGATAAGTTCATGCTAATAATCCCAGCACTCTGGGAGACTGATACAGAAGGATCTTAAGTTTGAGGCCAGCCTGGGCCAGATAAGTGAGACTTTCTCAGACCAACAACAAAATACCTAATCATAAACTTCTAATCATAAAGTAACAGTTCATTCTCAATAAAGTGGGAATTTTACTTAAGTGAGAATATGTATGCAAGTAGTAGTAACCTGTATTGGTAAGTTTGAGTCCTTTCTAGAAGGATATGCGTGTATTGCTGAAGAGTGAAGGTGGAATTACAACCAGTCAGTTATGACATGTTATAATTTTATGTTTTACAAATACTAAAGTCATAAAAACTTAATTGCCCCTTGATAGATCTGAGTTAAGGGGAAAATACTTTCACTTAAGCTAGCCTATTTAACTTGAAAATGACAACTGTTTTTAAAAGAAAAAGATTATGTGTGAGGGGGATCTCTCACAATTGGTTTCAACTGGCAGGGAAATTGTGTTGATACTTAAGTGAATTAGAAGACACTAACATTACATTGTGCCTTTACGATAAGATAGCTCTTTTGTTTCCACTACTATTGTGTCCTAAATAGGAATTTACCTCCAATATCTTAAGGTCTCTGACATGATTTTACCTTAGCTGACAAAATAATCAATACTTTTATCTATTAAGACACCCTCCTGCCAATAGGAATAGAAGGCCCTTTTTTTACTGTTAGTTAAATTACCTCCATTTTCACCAATTTATTTCTGATATTAGCCATTTAAGCTTGTATAGATGCTCTCACAAATATCATTGAGCATTGCTGATTACAATTATGTATTGTCAATAAACACCAAGGAGGAGAATAAAATGTTTCCGAACTGAAGGTGTTTTTGGGTTTACCAACCTTTCCTCTATAAGTCATGTTCATTATTTTTCCCAAGATACAACATCCTACAGATCTTCTGTAGTGTCCTACTGTGTTTCTTCATAAGTTCTGTGATGAATATTAAAACAAAGGTTAGTCCCACAATGTATTTTTTATCACCTTGCCTTAAGGATTTAGAAATTTGCATAGCATACTGTTCTAATTATCCTATAATTAACTACTTAGTAATTTCGTGACAATAATATAGCTAATTAAAGCAATAATGAATAAGGATATTTCTTTAGCACTTTTCAGAATCATTAAGTTGTAATATGCTATTAAGTTGTTTTTTTTAATAAGTAAGGGACTTTAAGGAAAAAGTATATGGTTATAAAAATAAGAACTTACTTGAAGATCCATAAATAATAGACTTAAAATGTGTTTGCTGAAATTTCTGAAATTTTTTGAGTCTTTTTTATTATTTTCTTTGGAAAATCGCTTTGGAAGTGAGTAGGCATCATAGGGACTTGTGATATTTGTGTTTTTGTCCAACTTGAGAAAAAGGACACACCACAGAAAAGTATTAAGGAGTAAACAGAAGTTTTAGTTTGTCAAAGACAATGAATTTTCTGATACACCTGGAATTTTTTGAAGTGCTGTAAGAACTATAATTTTAATATAAAATGAAAAATAGATCTATGTATGAACTTTCTGATCTCTATGAACGATAGATTATGAAAGATAAAGTATTCAGCATATGTGCACTTTAACACAATTTATTAAATATTTCTATTTGGTATCATTATCACTGTTTGAGCTGTCACCATCATCATAAATAGAAGTGCTTCTAATTGAAGATACCATCATATCTGCAATGCCTTTTTTGGGATTTTCTTCTAAATCAGTCTCTATTGCTCCAACTTCAGCTAGCTTCCACTCAAGTTCTGAAATAAATAACCCATCATTAAACTGGATAAAAAGTTTGGAAAAAAAGAAACATGAAATTACTCATCTGTACTGGTAACTATAAATCTATAGGTGACTCGAATAAAAATTAATGTCTAAATGAGGATATATTTAAAACCCCATTAACTAAAATATTAGGTGAAGGCCTGGCTCAATTTGTAGAATACTTGCCTAACTACATGAGGCTCTGAGTTCAAACTCCACTACTGTCAAAAAATGAAAATAAATGGCTTACACCTTCATATCAAGAAGAAAAGGGGGAAAAACCTAAGGAAAGTAGAATGATATATTGAGAAAACAGCAAAAGCAATAGTACTGTGCTGTGTTTGAAAAATAAAATGGGAGAATAATAAAATGGCCCAGATGAGTATGTCTAGGGGTAGGGCTGAAGAGCAGCCGGCTGGCAGCAAGCATTAAAATACACTGAGAAGTTCAACTGGAGACGTAGGCTGAAAGACTAATTTGTAAACTTATTTTAGGCAGGAAACCATTAAAGGTTTTCTGCAAAGGGTGTTAGGATAAGAGTATTATTGCTGGAAACTGATCTGGAGGCAAGGCAAACACTATGGTTTAAGGAAATAAACTTTCTTGATACGCTATACCAGCTATTTTTATAAATAAACCAAAAATAACATCATTACCTTCTAGCTTGAGATTTATCCCTCCACATTCTATAATACCAATGAATTTGCCTTCTATCTGACCATTTTTATAAACAAAAATTGTTGGTAAGCAGTTATCATGGTAGTGTTGAATGCAGCTATTCACGATGGCTTTAACAAATTTAGTTTCTGGAAACTTTTTTGCTAGGAGACTAAGCTGATGGTTAACCAACAAACACATTGGGATGCTGAAAAGAGAAACAGTACACATAATATATTTAAGAACAAACTATTCACCTCAATGTAATAAAATGGATAAAAACATCTTTATGACAAAAATATATCTTTAGTTTCTCATAAAAGTGTAGCCTTATCTTCCACTGTCAATTTTAGCAAAGCTAAAACTATGTGTAGAGTCCTCGAGTTTTTATTGGAAGTGCCACTATGGCCTCAGAAGGAAATAACTACTGTGAAAGTCTGGCACCTAATATAGTCAAACTACATTCAACTCTGGTCAGTAGGTCATGGGGGTAGGGGAAATACAAAAACAACTGAGGTCCAGACAATGTTTGGCTCTTCTAGTTGAAATAAAGAGGCCCTACTCATTACCATCATGTATTAACTTAACATGATGAGTTCATACCCAACGCTCCTCAACTCAGACATCTACATAGCTGTCCTCATACAGAATTATCTCATAAGAAAGTTAAAATTGTTTGGAAGTGTGATCAAAACTTCCAATTCTTCCTGTGATACCTATTTTTCAACTAGCCCCTTACTTCTAATCTATAACAGCCTTACCAAATAGTTTTAGGGCTAATCCTGCCTCCTGTACCTTATTCTCTTCCCTTTCATAAGGCACTTTCTTTGTTCTGTTTTCTTCTTCTGATTCCCCACCCTGCCTTCTCTTGTTGGTTGTGGGGTATGGGGCCTGAACTCTGGGCCTGGGCGTTGTCCCTCAGCTCTTCAGCTCAAGGCTAGCGCTCTTGAGCCACAGAGCCACTTCCAGCTTTTTCTGCTTATGTGGTGCTGAGGAATCAAACCCAGGACCTCATGCATGCAAGGCAAGCACTCTACCACTGAGCCACCTTCCCAGCTCCCCTCCCCCCATTCTTCCTCCCCCCCTCTTGCTCTTTCTCCCTCTCTCCCTCCTTTCCCCCCTCCCTCCCTCTCTCTGTTCAATTCACAAAATCTTAATACCTTACAACTGAGTCCTTTTCTAATAACCATTCTTTCCTCTAGTCACAGCCCAGGTGATAAACCTAGCAGTCTGTATGTTTTGCTCACTTCCATTCTTGAAATGACCTTCCTGTTTGACCTCTGTGGTGAGACTTACTATTGATTTATCTTTTTTCCTTTTTCTTTCCGGGGCTTGAACTCAGAGCTTGGGCGCTGTCCCTGAGCTTTTTCTGCTCAAGGCTAGTGCTCTACCACTTTAAGCCACAGCACCACTTCCCGTTTTTGGTGGTTAATTGGAGATAAGAGTCTCATGGGCTTTGCTGCCCAGCTAGCTTAGAACCACGATCCTCAAATCTCAGCCTCCTGGAAAGCTAGGATTAGGCACAAGCCACCAACCAGTGCCTGGCTATTGATTTTCTTTTAACCTTTCTAATTTCCTTCTGTTTTCTCTGCCACAAATATGAATCCCCTTACAGCTATTTTTCTTAGTGCAGATACATCCCCCAAAGAACTCTAAACTACCAGTAGTAGATGAATTTCCTCCTCTTTCACCCCTCCAAAAAAAACCTAATCTTTCTCCTATATTTTATTAGGTTGGTTTTTGGGCTAAACGTTTTCTTCTACAGTATCTAATAGTTAATCAATCAAGTCATACTGATTTCATCTCCCTGTTTCGTATCTGTTCTCTTCTTTGTTTTGTTTTTCTATTGCTGTACTCTTTTTTTATCTGACCTATATTAGATTACCCTAATCTGATGTATTTTCTTCCTTTTTTTTTTTTTTGTGGTGCTAAGGATCAACTCCAGGAATTTGCACATGTTAAAACAAGACAATCCCGCCCAATGCCAAATTTTATTTCTTACCTTCATCAAAAAAAAAACAAAAAACAAAAACTAGCCAGGTGTCAGAAGCTTATAGCTACAGAATGAGGGTCATGGCGCAAAACCAGTGCAGGCAGGAAAGCCTGTGAGACTCCTGTCTCTAATTAGCCACCACAAAAGCCAGAAGTTGAGCTGTGACATAAGTGATAGAATGCTAACATTGAGTAAAAATGCTCAGGGACTTAGGCCCTGAGTTCAAGCCCCAGGGTCAGCACAAAAAAGGAAGAAAAGAAAATCATTCTGGAAGTTCTCAATGAAATTTGACTGCAAAACTGATGAATTAGTAAATCTTAGTGCTAAAATTTGAATAAATTGCTCTGAATTTCTCAAAGAACCTGAAGAGAGATTAATGACAAGGACTTGTGGCAACAAGGCTACTGTCATAGTTTCTGTTCATGGTCTGCAGCTCTGAGGAACTGTCCAGAGGGACAATTTGAATAAATTTGGGGGAAAAGTCTACTTCTCAGTTACTTCTGTACTAGGTCAGTGAGTCCTAGAAATGTTTGACTAATTGTAATTAGTAAACTGGCACTTTAAAATTAACTGTTCGGGGAATGGGAAAGTGCAGGGGAATTTCCTACTAATGGAACCTAAAGAGACATTAAATAGCTATAGGTACTGCCTGATCCTTGATTAACTATTCAAAGTATGTGTATTTTATTGCCTGGTGCTAGTGGCTCACATCTGTGATCCTAGCTACGCAGTACAGGAAGTCTGAAGCTTATCTCCAATTAATTGCCAAAAAGTTGGAAGTGGAGCTTTGACTCAAGTGGTAGAATACCAGCTTTGAGCAAAAAAAGTTAAGGGACAGAGCTCAGGCCCTGAGTTTAAGCCTTACCCACAACAAACAAACAAAATATATGTATTTATTAAATCTGGAGATACTTGGGAAAACTTGAGTGAGGAATAGGTATTAGAAATTGTTAGGAATTACTGTTAACTTTGTTAGATGAGGAAATGCTACTGCAGTTAGGTAGAAGAACATCTTGAAGGGGAATATACCATCCCTAAATATGCCACTCTGACACAAGGTCTACTGTGGGTTGGAAGCAACTAAGAACAAACACAAAAGACAACCTTTCTGCCTTGCATCTCCATAGCAAGAATGGCAGAATGACTTTAAGTCACTCAACTCAGCCCAGAGAAATACCAGAGGAGAAAAAATAGTATTAGAGAGGGAGAGAGAGAGAGAGAGAGAGAAACTTTCCTAAAACAACCTTTATGTCCCACTCATTTACTTATAAACTTACTTTTCCATAGTTAGCCAGCCCCAAAAGCACACTCTCTTTTGTCTTGTCTAAAATGTTAGATGTCTAAAAATGGTAAGATACTACATAAGCCCATTTTCACATCTCTTCCACATACATCTCACCAAGTTCTTCCCATTAATAGACTTGTGTTTGTTTTGTTCATCAATCTCTCTTTTCTCAGTCAGACAGGTATAGAAAACTTTTACCTAAGAATCTTTGTCCCTATGTTTTTAAAATGTAGACTGAAGTACTTAGTATGTATGCTTAGTAGTTAATTATCATACTGGTGTATAATTTACTTTGAAATCATTCTGAAAATGCAAAAACACATCCATACACAGAAACAATGACAGTACATAGTGCAAAATGTTTACTGTTGAATCTACATGATGGAGATGGATATTTAGGATGTTTGTCTTCCTGTTCTATTTTTCTATAAATTAAAAAATTTTCCTAATAAAAGATTTTACTCAACTATCAGAGTGATTACTTTTCTAATTTAATGTGATAAGCTCTTCAAATGACAAATGAATATATTTTAAAATACCTAATTTAATCTAAAGCCAATGACTAAGTAAAACTATAGACTTGGTTATATATGACCCATAAATAATACGATAGCATACTATTTTCTTAAATACTCTGTTATATGTAGAATAGAACCTTAAAGCCATAAAAGATTGTTTAAAACATTAGTACATTAATATTTTTTCCTACTATGTTCTTTCTTATTTTTAGGCTACTTTACACTATTCTATGTTAATATATCAATTTAGGACATTACGTGCCATTTCTTGAAAAAGATAAGAAGAATCGGGCTTTCTCACTGACACTTTGTATCAGTGAACAGAAAGTTGCCTTCATCGTTCATTTACTTGTCCATATTTCTTATATACATATTTAGTATTCAAATTACTTTTATAATAAAATATTGCGTTAAATTTTTAAACACTGGTAATTACCTTGATCGGTATAGGTGAATTATAACCCATAAATCTTTTTCTGCATTTGTGACTTCATTCACATATTGATTTCCAGAAATTTCTCTTAATTCCCCAAACTTTTGTTTTTTCTTAAGTGCATTCCATTCCTGTAAACGCTTTTTTCTAATTAAAAAAAAAAGGTACATTAAAAATGTTATTTTCATAAGATCATTGAGAATACAGTAAGAGTTTGGAACAATAACTAATGTCCTTATACATTAAACAACTTAAATGAGAAGATAATCATTAATGAGATAACCAAGTCATTTTGCTTTTTAAATGTAATCTTTATGGTATCATCGGTATAGCAAAGTAAAAGAAATTTGCTTTGACTTTTATGTAAGACTTAGGTTATTTAGACATTGGGCTGACAAAGCATCATGCACAGTTAAAACCTCAGGAGAGAATATGTAGTAATAATAACTAACTATTGATCACCTGCTATATTGCTACTATTTTTAATATTTTTAAATAGTGTATATTGATCATACAGAGGAGTTTCATTGTCATATTTCTATATATGCACATAATGTACTTTGATCAAATTCACCAACTTAAATTCACCCAATCAATTAGTCTTTGAATATCCTCCTTCCCTGCTTCTAAATAATTTAAAGAGGTTGCATTATTCTATATTTATGCATATATAAAGTATGCTAATAATATTTATATAACCCCCCATTACCTCTCCTTTCACCTTCCCCTTTCTGGTGGTACCCTTCCCCAAAGACTCCTCCCTATTTTACACAGTGTCATCTTAAAAAAAAAAAAAAGAGGTGGAGATTCTACATACATATGTGAGAGAATATGTGGCATTTGTCTTTCTCAGTCTGACTTTATTTCATTTAACATAATGATCTCCAGGTCCATCCATTTTTTGCTGGATGACAACTTCATTTTTCTTTATGGGTAAATAATACTCCATTGTGAATATATATCATATACATAAGTTTTTTAATCCATTCATCAGTTGAGCTAATGAAGCAGATTACTTTGGCTACTATGAATAGCACTGCATAAACATAGGTATGTAAGTATCACTAGTATATGCAGACTTAGACTCATTACATATATAAACAAGAGTGGTATAATAGCAGAATCATATAATAGTTCTATTTTTAGTTTTCTTTTTTTGGCCAGTACTGGGTCTTGGACTCAGGGTCTGGGCACTGTCCCTGAGCTTCTTTTGTTCAAGACTAGCACTCTACCACTTGAGCCACAGTGCCACTTCCAGCTTTTTCTGTTTATGTGGTACTGAGGAATCAAACCCATGGCTTCATACATGCTAGGTGAGCACTCTACCACTAAGCTACATTCCCAATCCTATTTTTATTTTTTAAGGAATCACATTGGAGATGATTTTTGCCTTCTTAGGTCTATTCCTAAGTTTTACATTTATGCTTAAGCCTGTTATGAATAGGATTTTTCCTGATTTCTTTCTCAGCCTATTTGTTTTTGAAAAAACTGATTTTTGTTTTGCATGTTGATTTTGTATGCTACTCCTTTGCTGAACACATTTATCAGATCTAAGAGGTTTTTAGTGGAATCTTTATTGTCTTTTAAGTGCAGGATCATATTTGCAGGTAGAGATAACTTCTTCTTGTTCTATTTGCATTCCTTTTATCTTACCTTGTTGCTGAGGTTAAGAATTCTAGCACTACATAGAATAAGAATGGAGAGAGTGAATATCCTTGTTTTTTGTTCCTAACTTTAAAGGAAATGATTTGTTTTTCCCCATTAAAAAGCATGATGTTGGATATAGCTTTATTGTATATAGCTTTTATTATGTTAAGGTCATTATTTCTGTTCCTGATTTCTTCTACGCTTTTATCTCAGAGTTGAATTTTGTCAAAGACTTTTATTTCCTGCATCTACAGGATGAATATGTGATTGGGGCCTTTATTCTATTGTGTTCTGTATTGCATTTATTGATTTACATATGATGAAATGTCTTGTACCTTGGAAGGAAACCAACTGGATCACAGGATCAGAGTGTATAATCCTTTGAATATGTTGTTGAATTATTTGCAGGTATTTTATTAAGAATTTTTACATCTATGATGATCAAGGAAATAGGTCTATACTTTGTTGTTGTTGTTATGTCCTCACCAAATTTTGGTATTAGGGTAGTACTGGCTTCATAGAATGGTTCGGTAGCATTGTTTTCCTTTCTCTTTTATAGAAAAGTGTGAGGATGATTTGTGTTAGTTCTTTAAAGGTCTAGTAGTTCATCAGTGAATCTATGATCCTGTCTTAGGCTTTTCTGTTGGAAGTCTATTACTGCTTCAGTTTTGTTCCTTTGTTTAGGTCTTTTTAGGTAGTTTAGATCTTCTTTGCTCAACTTTCTTTTTTGGGGGGGGGGGGAAGGGGGGAGCCTTGAACTCAGGGCGTAGGCGCTCTCCCTGAGCCTCTTTGTGCTCAAGACAAGCACTATACCACTTGAGCCACAGGGCCACTTCTGTTTTTTGAGAAGTTAATTAGAGATAAGAGTCTCCTGTGGACTATTTTTCTGCCCAGGCTGGCTTTGAACCACAATACTCAGATCTCAGCTTCCTGAGTAGCTATTGGCTACTCAGCTATTTTCAGTTGTAATGTTTCCTCTGGGCCTGGGTGCTGTCCCTGAGCTCTACCATTTGAGCCACAGTACCACTTCCAGTTTTGGTAGTTAATTGGAAATAAGAGTCTCACAGACTTTCCTGCCTGGGCTGGTTTTGAACTGCATCCTATCTCAGCTTCCTGAGTAGCTAGGATTACAGGTGTGAGCCACCTGGGCTCAGCTTGGCTCAATTTTTTTTTTTTTTGTTGGTTGTGGGGCCTGAACTCTGGGCCTGGGCCCTGTCCCTCAGCTCTTCGGTTCAAGGTGAACGCTTTACCACTTGAGCCACAGCGCCACTTCTGGCTTTTTCTACTTATGTGGTTCTGAGGAATCAAACCCAGGGCCTCATGCATGCAAGGCAAGCACTCTACCACTGAACTACCTTCCCAGCCCTTGGCTCAACTTTTATAGGTCATATACATGTAGAAATTTATCTATTCTAGAATTTCTAGTGTATTTGAATATAAGTCTCCAAAGTATTCCCCAATGATTGGAATTTCATTGGCATTTGCTGTAATAGTCTCTCTGTAATCTTACTGAGTCTTTCTTTTCATTAGTTTGGCTAAGGGTATGTCAATTTCATTTTCTTTTCAAATAGCTGACTTTTGTTTTCATTGACTATTTTTCTTTTTCTTTTAGTGTTCATTTAATTAATTTCTACCTCAATTTCTTTCTACCTACTGCTTTTGGGTTTGGCTCATTCTTCTTTAGTAAGAACTTGGGTGAATTATTAGGTTATTTATTTGAGATCATTCTCTTTTTTTTTTTTTGGTCAGTTGTGGGGCTTGAACTCTGGGCTTGGGCGCTGTCCCTGTGCTCTTCAGCTCAAGGTGAACATTCTACTGCTTGAGCCACAGCGCCACTTCCTCGTTCTGATTTTTTAATGTAGGCACTTACAGTTATAAACTTTCTAAGTTATAAAGAAAAGGTCTATAAAGAGCAATGAAATGCTTTTTTGTGATTTTAACCTATGGGCTACTTCTTTAGGTAGCCCAGAGCCTACTCTACCTTGCATAGTCCTACCATAATGAAGGTTTATACTCATGATTTCCTCTTATTCCTTCTGATGCCTCAACAGTTCCTGTGTGGCCCTGTGTATGTGGCAAGATGAAGCTCCTCCTCTTGGGAACTGTGAGTAACAAACTCACAGTTTGCAATGGCAATCATATCTCACTCATAGTTGAATAAAAACAAAATCCTGGGTATATTTTAAACCCTCTGACATTGCCAGGTGCTAGTGGCTCATGACTGTAATCCTAGCTACTTAAGAGTCTGAGTTCTCAGGCTGGGAAGGTGGCTCAGTGGTAGAGCGCTTGCCTTGCATGCTTGAGGCCCTGGGTCCGATTCCTCAGCACCGCACAAGCAGAAAAAAAAAAGCCAGAAGTGGCGCTGTGGCTAAAGTGGTAGAGTGCTAGCCTTGAGCTGAAGAGCTGAGGGACAGTGCCCAGGCCCAGAGTTCAGGCCCCACGACCAGACCCCCCCAACCCCCCAAAAAAGAGTCTGAGTTCTAAGGATTAAAGTTTGAAGCCAGCCTGGGCAGGAAAGTCCATGAGACTCTTATCACTAATAAACTACCAAAAAAGCTAGAAGCGAGCTGTGGTTCAAGTGGTAGCACACTAGCCTTAAGAAAAAGAATCTCGATTATAGCCATTCTAACTGAGGTGAGGTGGTTGTTTTGATTTGCATTTCTTTTATGGCTTGAGAGGTTGAGCATTTCTTCATGTGTCTATTGGCCATCTTTCTTTCCTCTTCAGAGAACTTTCTCTTTAAGTCTTTAGCCCACTTATTTATTGGGCGTTTGTTTCTTTGAAGATTTGTTTTTGGGGGGATTTAATTTTTTAAGTTCTAGGTATATTTTAGATATGAGACTCTTGTCTGTTGTATGGCTAGTGAAGATCTTCTCCCAATCTGTGAGCTATAATCAAGAACTCTCATAACAACAGATGCTGGAGGGGATGCAGACAGAAGGGAACCTTACTGCATTGTTGGTGGGAGTGTATACTTCTTCAACCACTTTGGAAAGCAGTATGGAGGTTCCTCAAAAGACTCCACATAGAGCTCCCCTATGACTCAGCAATCCCACTTTTGGGCCTTTACCCAAATGATCACAAACAAGACTACATTAAAGCTACCAGCACAACTATGTTTACTGCAGCATTATTTACCATAGCTAAGATATGGACCCAACCCAGATGCCCCTAAGTAGATGAATGGATCAAGAAAATGTAGTATATATACACAATGGAATTCTATGCCTCCATCAGAAAGAATGACATTGCCCCATTTGTTAGGAAATGGAAAGACTTGGAAAAAATTATATTAAGTGAAGTAAGCCAGGCCCAAAGAAACATAGGTCCCATGGTTTCCCTTATTTGCAATAAGTATTCAAATGTTTTTTTTCCTTTCATGCAATTGTTTCCATCATATTTATAAGATGATTTCTATGCTGCTTTGTATGTCCCTCCCCATACTTTCACTGTATTTGATGTTGGTATAATTTGTGGAGGGGATGGGAAAAAAAGACAAATTGTTTAACTAGGGATACAGGTAGACCCATTGCAACAATAAGATGTACAAATTGTTGTGTCGAAAAACGAACTTAACAACTTTGGTGGAGGATCAGGTGGAGGGAGGAGAGGAGTATGGGAAGGGATGGGAAGAGGAAACAACAAGGAGACAACAATGTTTGATAAGAAATGTACTCATTATCTTGCCCATGTAATTGTAACTCCTCTGTATGGTATTTTCACAATTAAAGAAAAAATCCAAAAAAAGAAAAAGAATCTCATAGACAGCACCCAGGTCCTGAATTCAAGACGTAGGCCCAGCACAAAAACAATAAACAAAACAAACACTCTGACCTTGTTTTACGTGTCGGAAACATGCCATATTAGAAACACCTCTCTTTATGTGACAATTGATTCACGTAAAATAGAGCCTAAAAGAGAACACTGAGAAAAAATACAGGGTAGGCTTTCTCAGAGTTTTCAAACTGAGGGCCTTCAGTATTTTTTCCCTACCTTGTACTGCATATTTACAGTTACTATCCTTAATTTTCCTCAATTTGATTGATTAGGTTACCCTAGGTTACCATCACTCAGAAACTTAAAGATATTCTTGTTCCAAAGATGACAACATGCCCTACTTAATGGTGTAACCATCAACTACTTTTCTCTTGCTCCTCCCATCACCTCCTTCTCCTCATTTCTCTTTGTCATTTCATTGGAATTGGGCAGGGGACAGATATAAACACATGGGTTCATTTTGCCAGCAGGAAGTCACACAGTGTTCACAAGCCTCTATTTTTTTTTACCAAACAATCACTAACAGTTAAGATTCAGTGGCATAAACACATAGCCTTCTGGCTATTTTTTAAGTAGAAAAGAGCTTAATATGGGAATTAAGTGCTTTGCAGATTCATAGGACAGACAGGAATAGGCTCTAGGCTGGGCAACCAGGAATTACTTCCAAGCCATCATTGCAAAACTGGTCGGTCCAGGCTTCATTTGCTGCAATGCAGAAACTGGAATTGCTCTGCTACTTGTTCGCCCAAGTATTAAATTACTATGACACTGAGAAAATCACAGGAACAAATGTTGATTCTAGAAACTTATCTCCCTAGCAACAATCCAAGGATAAAAGACTTCTGCCAGAACAATGTCTCGAAAACCATGAAGCAAATTCTAGACTAATACCACCTACATGGTTGCTTTGTGTTACTACTTCTTTCTCCACTTAACTCAGTGCTAAATTAAATATCCTGTGAATGTTCAACAGAATCCAAAACATGGTCCTTGCTTCAATATAGTCTAAGTGATAAGGGTCCTGAATTTCTGCTCAAGGTTGGTACGCTACTACTTGACCCACAGCTCCACTAGGACCACTTTTTAGCTTCAGCAGTATTGTGCCACACCAGGAGGAAGAGGAACATAGGTCAAGGAAGTCAATTTAGTATAGTCACCACAAAATATAGACTGTAAATATGTTTATGGCTACATTGATTTTTCTACGTCATTTAGCTATAAGAGCTACTGGCTCTTATCAATAGCAAATGATCAACACGAAAAGAATTTCGGTTTGGGAGTTTTCTTTTCTTTTCTTTTTTTTTTTTGGTCAGTTGTGGGTCTTGAACTCTGGGCCTGGGTGCTGTCCCTAAGCAATTCAGTTCAAGGTGAGCACTTTACCACTTGAGCCACAGTACCACTTCTGCTTTTTCTGGTGGTTAATTGAAGATAAAAATTTCATAGACTTTCCTGCCTGGGCTGGCTTTGAACCACAATGCTTCAGATCTCAGCCTCCTGAGTAGCTAGGATTACAGGCGTGAGCCCCCGGCAGTCAGCTTGGGTTTTCTTTAATATTACTTTTTGTTTATCTAGTCCTGAGCTTGGTCAGGACCTAGAGTGTGATTGTAACTTCCTCTAACTGAGGCTCACAGAAGAACACATGTGCCAACTTCCTTTGCAGAGGATTATAGGAGTAAATTACAGGCAAAGGAAGAGATATGAAAGTGATTCATCCATTTTGATGGCTCCTTCCTAAAAAGTCCTGCGTAATCCTCTCTATCCCAGAGTCACATAACCGGAAGTAAAGGGTTCTAAAATAATGAAATCTTCAATGAGAAGTACTCAGGCCATAGCCATTGCCTGAAAAATAAAACTGTAGTATGTGGATCAAAAAGTTGAGAAATTACTTAAAGAAAATATAATTGTAAAAGTTAAAAAGCATATTAATCACTCCCAGGATTTGGTATCCAAGAATCTACTTAAAAAAAAAAATACATCTTTAGTGACTGTTGCTTTTCTTGTTTTCAAAGTTCAACCATATTGTAGAACATAGTCATAGTACATCATGTCCTTTTATAGCCAAGTAATATTCCACTGAAGATGTATGGCATTTTTTAGTTATTTATCAGTTGATTGACATTCACTTTCTACTATTCTATTCATTTTCTACTTTTCACTTTCTACTCCTAGATGGACTTTGTGCTTTCTTGCTATTGTAAATAATGTTGCGATGAAACTTCCTATACATCCTTTGTGTTTTTAAACCTCGTGGGTACATAAGAATAGAATTGCTGGATCATATAATAACTGCATTTTGAGGATCTTCCAGAATGTCTGTTCAAGCTGTACAATTTTGCGTTCTCACTAGCTATTACAAGAGTTCTAATTTCTCCATCTTCTCACAACTATGTTTGTCTGTCTTTTGAATTATTACTCCAGTGGGTATGAAGTGATCTCTCAGGGTCTTCCCTAAATGTGTTTATTAATGTCAGAATGGAATTGAATTTCAAGATAGCAATCTCATATCTAGAAAACTGAAAATTTGTGGGAGATAAAAATAGTACTCATTTTATGTAAAAAATGGTACAAGTAAAAATATACTACTGGAACTTAAAACTGCTATGAAAATATTCTGGAATGTCACAGATGTGAGCAAACAAAAGAAAGAATCAGCATACTTGAAGATAGGATTTTTCCAAATATTTAAGTCTGGGATAACAGAAGAAAAATGAAGAGCTGGGTGCTGGTGGCTCACACCTGAAATTAATTGTATTTGGGAGGCTGAGATCATAGGATCTTGGTTTAAAGCCAGCCCAAACAGGAAAATCCATGGACTCTTATCTCCAGTTAATCACCAAAAAGCTAGAAGTGAAGCTGTGGCTCAAGTGGTAGCCTTCATCAAAAAAAAAGCTAAGAGACAGTGGCCAAGCCTAGTTCAAGCCCAAGTACCAGCACACACACACACACACACACACACACACACACATGCACACACACACACATACACACTGAAAGAAAATGAAGAAAAGTGAACAGAGCCTGAAGGACCTACGGGATACTATTAATCAGGTAAACACACTTATCATGGTAACCCCAGAAGCAGAGGGGAGGGCAAGAAGGAATATTTTCAGAACTAATAGCCTGATAACTTGCCATAGTTGATTAAAGACATGAATCAAAAAATCCAAGAAGGATAAATTCAATAATACCTACATTGTGTTATATCATAAATGGTGAAAAAGCAAAAAGAGAAGCAAGTCATTACCTACAAGAGATCCTTAATAAGATTACCACTCAATTTCTTACTCAGCAATTCATAAGTAACAAAGCACGGTACCTGTATATTTCAATAGCTCTCATATCTTCTTCATCAAAATCATCTTCAGCTTCTTTCAATTCTGAAAGTGTCATCTTTTCATATGGTTTAACTGAAACAACACAAATTGTAGTCAAATTGTTTACAACTATTTTTACTCTCCAAAGTATAAAGAAAAAAATACTTAATGATAGCCAGAATATTTTAAAACAAACCTGTAGCAGTCAACCACAAAATAATTTACATATTATAGAAACTACAACATTAAGGTTTTATTACTCCCTCAAAGTTTACAGGCCTGACAGGTCACAGGTGGAATGCAAAAATCAATCAGACCCCATTAGTACCTAGAAATCTTGACCAATCATACACACTATATAGAATGTGGTTTTTTTTTTAAGACAATTACAGGCTGGGCATCAGTGGCTGATGCCTGTAATCCTAACACTCAAGAGGCTGAGATCTGAGGATCAAGGTTCAAAGCCAGCTTGGGCAGGCAAGTCCATGAGACTCACCTCCAATTAACCTCCAGAAAGCCAGAAGTGGCACTGTGGGTCAAGTGGTAGAGTGATAGCCTTGAGCTGTGAGCAACAGCACCCAGGCCCAGAGTTCAAGAAAAAGAAGAAAGAAAAGGAAAGACAATTACAGGTAGAGAGATATGGTGGAAGAAGAAATTTTACTAACTTACAAGCATAATATTTCAGCTCCTTTATTAATTAATATATGATTTCAACATGTAATTAGCCGTTTTAGGCTAATTTTGAAGGTAGAGGTAAGATTTATATTAAATAATTTTGAATGCCTCTTTCATAGTACATGCTACCTTAATAGTATTGTCACCTTCATCCAGCCCCACAAATACATAAATATACCCATTGCTTCTTTTTGTAAACGTAAAACCATTTCTTCAATTTCATCTTTTGGTTCTTCTTTTGGAGGAAGAATGCCAAAATCTCTTAGAATCTCATTCCATTCTGTATCTTCATTTGGATCCTGCACAAAGAGAAAGCAAACCTATTGGCATATCTGTGCACTTTAATGTGTATTTGTATAACTGCACGTCATCAAGGGCACATCTGCCCTTGATGTCACACTGAGAAATTTAATAAAAGATAAATCTAGAACATACTTAACAAATATCAAGAAGTTTATAAGTCATGGACAATTCACTGATCTACAGAGGGCAAAATAAATAAACATCATTCACAAATATGGTTTGATGATCTTTGGACTATGTTTAGCTATATAGATTCACAGGAGTCTCACTCAGGGAGTAAGTCTTAGAAGAGCCTAGTAGTATTTCTACTCTTCATTTGCTGTCCTAACCATAACTTCCTTTCTCTGAAGGTTAGCCTTAAGAATAGTCATTGTCTTTTATTTATAGTTTTCCCACAAGTTACTGACCATCTTTCAACTAATGTTTCTCTAGCCTGCTGTCTATTCTCTGATGCTTTCGGAGAAAGATAGAACTTAATTATATGAGAGAAATCTGTGGCAAAGTCTGCTAGTTTTCTTTATGTAATTGGGGGTTACTTTTGATTGAATTCCTCTTGCTTGATAGAAATACCTGAAGATCTGAGATAAAGATATCTTTCTCCACAAGGGATTTCTGCTTATTTCTTCCAGGTACTGGAGCACTATAGAATATAATTTATATCCAATTCAGTCTGAAGTTTGCTAGACCTTCCAACAATGGGAAGTTGTCAGTTGTACAATGCTATGAAAGCTGTCTTGAGCCAAAAGTTTTTGGGGTCAGGTTTTATTCCTGTCCACTAAGCAGTGAGACAACCTTCCCTGAATTCTATCTATGGTCACTTTTTTCCTGTTTAAACATTCTTTCTTGATATTCCTTGGGAACAATGGAACAAATTGTACAGTCAAAACTCTGTATTCTACTGTTCTTTGTTTTTATAATAGTTATGGAATTTTACTTAAAAATCCATTCCTCAAGGGCTGGGAAGGTGGCTCAGTGGTAGAGTGCTTGCCTTGAATGCATGAGGCCCTAGGTTTGATTCCTCAGCATCACATAAGCAGATAAAGCTGGAAGTGGCACTGTGGCTCAAATGGTAGAGTCCTAGCCTTGAGCTGAAGAACTGAGGGACAGCGCCCAGGCCCAGAGTTCAGAGCCCACGACCGACCAAAAAAAAAAAAAAAATCCATTCCTCAAATGATCATGGTATTTTACATGCCATAGCTTTATTTCATTATTCCCTCTCTGTCAACTCTTTGGACAGGGTCATATCTAAAATACAAGAACTGTGTAACAGGCTGTTGAGTACGTCAATTAACAAACCAAGGCAGAAAGAAAGGTTAGTGTGATGTTGCCTTCACTCTCAATTACATTTCTGCCGAACTCTTCACAAGCAGCTGCAAACCAGGACAATTCTACAGAGCTGTAGAATTTTATACACTGTATAAAATATGCTTGCAAGGAGTCTATTAACATGAAAAGATTACCACCATAGTGGTAAATAATTTGTTTAAAATATCCTATTAAATTGTATGGTATACACAACTATGAGAATTAAGTATGAAAAAAAAAATCCCAGTTCTTTTGATTTGGAAGAGCAGAAGGGCAAAAGCTGTTTCTGTAAATTACAAATTGAGAATTTTATTCTGCTTAAAACAAAAGAACAGACAATGAGAGAAAAGTGAATCAAGACAAAGGTTCTGCTCAAGGAGGATGCTTTAGAGCCAGGAGAGCAATAAATAGGGTATCTAACAGTTTTTGTGCTAAGGCAGGAAGGAGGAACTCCAGGGAGAGTTGGCCCTTCTAAGTCACACTCAACGTTTTAGGGGATCATCTCTGAGTCTCAGACAGTGAAAGAGGGCACTGAAATAAAATTATGCTTTCTCAAGTTGGAAATAGTATAGCTGTAGGTTTTCGAGGATTCAGATGTGAAAGGCAATTCTAAACACAGGAAGTTTCCTCCAATGACAAACGGGAAGTCTTGAAAAATGTAAGAAATGACATTCTCTTAGGGCTATAACCCCAAAATATCCAGAGACACATGCAAAACTCACCAAGAACAAGTGTTAGTCCCCTCCCCTCGCCCCTGTAACACTGTAGGCTGCCCCTTCCATGTATGTGGACTCCTCACCTGCATGATGTTCTGACAAGCCCCTCACGGGGGACTGGGGACCTAGACCTGAAGCCCCGCCCCCCCAAGAATGGGGGACAACCAGCTCCAGGCCCAGCGGTTTCCAACGCCCAGCAGGGAGGGCAATTAGAACAAGGATTTCGCTGAGGACTCCTGTTGCCAGGCAACACAGAGGCGTGGCTTTGGCTACGGAAGCAGTAGCTGCTGGACCATCTTGGTGGAGCATCTCCCCTCCTGTTGGCTGGGTAGGGCTGGTGCTGGACCTGTCTTCGTGGAAATAACAAACTCCTGGAGTGGAGAAGCTTTCAAAGGAATTCTTAATCAGAAACCCATAGCCTGTGTTTAGAGAGATTTAAGAAATACCTAACCCTCAGTGGACAAATCATTTCTAGAGTTAACTATGGAGAGCTTTCATCAGATTTTTCAAGTGAGATGTGAATATATATGCAGACATCATCTTGGCCTCAGGAGGTGGAGGCTCTGTTGGGAAATCTAAACTCTTGCCAACCTTGCTGTTTAACAGAAGGGAGCTATTTATTAGGAACTTGGAGAAAACACGTGGTGTCATTTATATAATCCCAAGAATATACTCAACAAGATTTAGGAAACAAAAACAAAAAAATTGTTTTTTATTACACAACTCAAAACTTGTGGTCGGCAGTGCCAACTTCATCTACAGTGCTCAATTAGTCCTTAAGACAAATTCTATGTTGCTAGTAGTTAACATATTCATTTGGGTTTGTGTCTGTGAGGATAATTTTTTAATTTATTTTTTATTGTGAAAGTACTGTACAGAGGGGTTACAATTACATGGGCAAGATAATGAGTGCATTTCTTATCAAGCATTGTAACCTCCTCCTTTGTTTCCCCTTCTCATCCCATCCTCCCCCCACCCCTTCACTCAGCCCTCCTCCCCGCCCCCACCAAAGTTGTAAAGTTCATTTTCTACATAACGACTTGTACGTCTCATTGTTGCAATGGGTCCACCTATGTCCCTATTTAAATGATTTGTTTTTCCCTACCCCTCCACAAATTATAACAACATCAAATACAGTGAAAGCAGGGGTTATACCGTGGGGGAGGGACAAACAAAGCAACAAAGAAATAATCTTATAAATGTATTAGAAACAATCACATGAAAGAAAAAAAAACATTTGAATACATGTCTTAGGGTTCATTTCCCTAACATCAACTTAACTGACCTGTTCTGCTTGACTCAGACATATACTAGTTATTGCGAATAAGGGAAACCATGGGGCCTATGTTTCTTTGGGCCTGGCTTACTTCACTTAATATAATTTTTTCCAAGTCTTTCCATTTCCTAACAAATGGGGCAATGTCATTCTTTCTGATGGAGGCATAGAATTCCATTGTGTATATATACCACATTTTCTTGATCCACTCATCTACTGAGGGGCATCTGGGTTGGTTCCATATCTTAGCTATGGTAAATAATGCTGCAATAAACATAGTTGTGCTGGTAGCTTTAATGTGGTCTTGTTTGTGAACATTTGGGTAAATGCCCAAAAGTGGGATTGCTGGGTCATAGGGGAGCTCTATGTGGAGTCTTTTGAGAAACCTCCATACTACTTTCAAAGTGGTTGAAGAAGTTTACACTCCCACCAACAATGCAGTAAGGTTACCTTCTGTCCACATCCCCTCCAGCATCTGTTGTTATTAGAGTTCTTGATTATAGCCATTCTAACTGGGGTGAGGTGGTATCTCAATGTTGTTTTGATTTGCATTTCTTTTATGGCTAGGGAGGTTGAGCATTTCTTCATGTGTCTGTTGGCCATCCTTCTTTCCTCTTCAGAGAAGTTTCTCTTTAAGACTTTAGCCCACTTATTTATTGGGCAGTTGTTTCTTTGAGGATTTGTTGTTGGGGGATTTAATTTTTTGAGTTCTAGGTATATTTTAGATATGAGACCCTTTCCGTTGTATAGCTAATAAAGATCTTCTCCCAATCCGTGGGCTTTCAATTGATCTTGCTAGTTATGTCCTTTGCCATGCAGAAGCTCTGCACTTTCATGCAATCCCATTTGTCCAACCTTTCTTTGATTTGTTGTGTTTCTGGGTCTCTATTAAGAAACTTTTGGCCTGTGCCAAGGAGACCTAGGGATTCTCCTATTCCATGAGAGGATAATTTTTAAGTACAAATATTTTTGTAACCACGTGCTACAATTTCTCTCCTCTGTAAGTAGGCAACCTGTGCATTTCTAAATTCCTAAAAAGGAACTTTGGCTCAATGTTCAACTCTTATTTTGACCAAAAAAAAAAAGTCCTGGTGAGTTGAATTACTGTGCATATAATTAATTCTCTGGGCCCCCAAGACTGTATCCTACTAAGGCAATCAATTCTATAAAAAGAATGCAATTTTTGTCCTCTTCTGTTTGCCCCTTTCCTATGTTTTTTGCTCAGTTGACAAGAAGTGAAATTCAGAAACGTTTTAGTGACACGTATACTTTCTATTGTTCATAAGTCAACAATAGAAAGGCAAAGTTTTGTTATCTAGTCTTCCCTAAATCATGCATACACCTAATTCCATTAAGGTGCCACCCTTCTCTAATCTGACAGCAACCTCCACAGGAAAGGAGGTGGGAACCAAGAGTTGTGTCTAAGAAAACACAAGGAAAGTCAGAGGGAATGTTAAACTCATTTTCCATCTGAAGTTAGTTCTGCATCCACTAAACGAGAATTTGATATAAAAAGTTCCCTAGGTATGTTTATGATGCTGTATTAGTAAGATTAATTTCTTCCTAATAAAGCATAAGACTGATTACCTTTCGGATGTTGCAGGAGAGGGACAGGTTTTGTTTTTTTTTGCAGTACTGGGGTTTGAATTCAGGTCATTGCACTAGATGCTTTACCAATTGAGTCCCAGTCCTTATTTTTCCTCCAGCCTTTTTTTGTCTTATTTATTTTGGGATAGTGTCTCATGTTTATGTTTCAGATTGCAATCCTCCAATGAATGACTGAATGAGCTATTGTAATAATACAAAAGAATTATACACTCAACTCTGTAAGAGTTTAATATTTTGAGTAAAATAAAAATCATATGTAGTAATACTCAAAAGCTACAGGCATATAAGTACATCATTATTTACAGCTTTATTAAACACTATTAATCCTTATAGCAGTAAAAGTATTTTAGATGCTTTTTTATTTTCAATACATTAAGCTTTTACAATCTCAACTAACTCACTGAGAATGATTAAACAAAGGTGTTTTAAACAGAGTAAATTTATGAAGGATTATTTTAAAGAAGAAAGCAAAACATGAGCACATTTTGTATTTCATAGTGCTGTTCCTGTGGAAAATTGTTGTTATCCTATAAAAAAAGAAAGAAATAGTGAATTAGATTCATGTAAATTGTATGTGAATATGTGTATATTTTATTTACATATGGACATTCCTGAATGTTCTTTGTCAACGTATAATAATATGAGCATCTGAAATAGTTCCTAGCTGTTATTTGGTCTTTACATTTTCACAATTGGAATTTTTCTGTTTTCCAAAAATTTACAGTGTATCATCATAAGAAAGTAGTTTCTAAAATCTCAGCCATACCAATGCTCATATGATTTGTGAGCATCTCAAAATTGTCACAGTTACTATTTCTTGACACATCTGCAATTGAATCATTATATATGTATAATATATTAAGCATATTATATATAATATCTACTTTTCTCTAGTTAATACATAGCCTTAATCTCATCTATTTAAGGTGAAACCCTTCTCTGATTAGGCACCAACCTCTACAGTAGAGGAAGTGGCAATTCAAGAAAGGTATCCACATCACAAAGAAACTGTGGGACACAGCAAAAGCAGTCCTGAGGGGCAAATTTATTTCCCTCAGTGCCCACATCAAGAAAATAGAGACAAACCAAGTAAATAATCTCATGTTGCAATTAAAACAACTAGAAAAACATGAAAAAATGGAGCCTAAAGTTACTAGACGGAGCCAGATAACCAAACTAAGAGTGAAGAGTAATGAAATAGAGAATAGGAGAATCATAGCGAAAATTAACAAAACAAAAAGCTGGTTCTTTAAAAAAATAAATAAAATTGATGGACCATTGGCAAAATTAATAACGAAAAGAAGAGAGAAAACCCATGTTAACAAAATTAGTGATGCCATGGGAAAAATCACAAGTACCCAAGATATCCAAACAATTTTAATGGACTACTTTCAAAAATTATATTCTCTAAAGAAAGAAAACCTGGCAGAAATGGATGCATTTTTAGAAAAATACAAGTTGCCCAAACTGAGCAAAGAAGAAGTCAATCAATTAAATAAACCAATATCTTACAACGAGATACAGGAAACAATCAGAAGTCTTCCAGCAAAGAAAAGCCCAGGACCAGATGGATTCACAACAGAATTCTATAAGACCTTTAAAGAAGAACTAATACCCTTATTCCTCAAGCTCTTCAGAGAAACAGAAAAGGAGGGAGCTATCCCAAACTCATTCTACGAAGCCAATATCACACTCATCCCCAAACCAGGCAAAGACCCAACCAAAAGAGAGAATTACAGGCCAATTTCCTTGATGAACACAGATGCAAAGATCCTTAACAAAATTCTAGCTAACAGAATCCAGAAACACATAAAAAAAATCATACACTATGACCAGGTAGGCTTCATCCCAGAGATGCAAGGATGGTTTAACATACGTAAGTCAATAAATGTAATCCAACGTATCAACAGAGCCAAGGTCAAGAATCACATGATTATCTCCACAGATGCAGAAAAGGCCTTGGTAAAATTCAACAATCATTCATGCTAGAAGCTCTGGAGAAAATAGGAATAGAAGGAACATTTCTTTAAACAATAAAAGACATTTATGACAGACCAATAGCCAATATTATACTTAATGGGGAAAAGCTACAACCAATTCTCCTAAAATCAGGAACAAGGCAAGGATGCCCACTGTCTCCACTCCTCTTCAATATAGTCCTGGAACCCTTAGCCAGGGCAATAAGGTAAGAAAAAGACATTAAAGGGATCCGCATAGGGAAAGAAGAAGTTAAACTAT